TGCAGTATTTGCTTATGTTCTAATCGTTTCCTTCATTTGTTGATACCTGCTTACGTATTTGTGCAGCGTGTTGGGCAGAATTCCAGTGGGACGGCATGTTCTCCTTTTTCTGGGACAATGAAACCAGAACCTGAGTACTGTACCACACTGAAGCTTAAAGCTTGGCTATGCAGGCATAGGTCTGCTCTTTGTACGTGTCTGTGGGAGTGCATCAGAAGCCAGAACACCAATGAATCAGGCTGTAGGAGCAACTAGTCAGTGTGATAGAGAGGAGGGTCCAGGTGGCCAGCAAACTGTGGGGGTTTTTTTCAGTGGAAGCACTTAGGGGCTTCAGGGTGGTGATTCAGTTCAAGCCAAGTTTGGGCTAATGGTCTTTGTTTGAGTGATTCTTTTTCCAAAGAAGTACTCATATAGAGCTAGAGGATTCACTAAGAAAGTTTCATTTATGGAAGCAAATCATTTTATCATGAAATCATACAAATTCACCCACAGTAAATTTCAGGTGCTGACAAGCTTTTCAGCTTTACAGAATAAGCAGATAGTAATTGTCATTAACGTCATTAGTGGCTGGCAATGGAGATCTCTAGCATTAGTTCAGATACTGCTTTGAGTACTGGAATCTTTTTTGAAAATACAGATTATAGTGGGGAAAAAAGGACAGAGATCTCCAAAGAGCATGATAGGATATGCATAACCTAGGAGTGCGGCTGAAAGCAAAACATATTTCATAATTTAAGAAATACTGTGAGCTTCAGCTATACTCGCTTAAAGAGAAAATGGACTAAAAGCTTTTCTAGTTCTTTTTCATGACAGTGAATTTTCTCTACCCATTTTTATGTTTTTATAATCACTTTTTCCAGTTTTTTATTTTGTTCTTTTCATGGCTGTGAGAAAAAGCCTAATAAACAGGGGAAAATTACTAGCTTTAAACAGTTTTAGCATTATATAGAGAACAATAAAAATGATTATAAATCCTCTAATCCCTTTCAGTATAAGTTATCTTAGGTTTTATTTGTGAAGGCAGGGTCCCAGCTTGGTTTTCCAGAGTCCAAACGGACATGTTTTATTATGTCATTTCATATAACCATTTGTTTATTTTCATCAACCATAGTAAAGTGTTGTAAAAGCTTTTACTTTTAAAGTAATACAGTTGCAGTCTGCAAAAAAGGTTAGGTTTGTAGGAAGAGGTAATATCTTTTATCACATATAATGGGAAGAAATAAACAAGCCTTCAAGCTTAAAGTCCTTACATTTGGTCTGATTTCATCTATTAAAATATATTACCTCTCCTTACAAACTTTATTTTTAAACACAGATTTTGTCAGTGTGTCTGGATTTACTCCAGAAGAGGAGTAATAACTTAAAAAGTTGCAGTTTCTGCAGGCAAGCTTACAGTAGTTAGTACGTGACTGTTTATGAATTATTCAGATATTGCTGTTCTCAGTACCAACTGATACTGCACGTGCATTACAAACCCGTAAATTAACTTTTTAAACAGTTGTACTTTTCCACGTTTTGGGTTAGTATTATTTGCGTCACTCTGATGTGCTGCAAATTTTCTTACTTTTATCGTTACTGTTTTTATTATCATTTTAACAAGACTTTTGTTGTTATTTTAATAATTGAGGGGATGTCCTTATGGACCTGTGTGCTTGGAGCTTCAGAAGGCATAGATTTGATTTGTGTGTGCTATTTGTTTCTGTAGGTATGGTTCTAATTGCCGTTGTATTTCACCGACTGATGACCCCGATGTACAAATCTCGTAGGATTCTGTGAGAATACACAAGTAAGTGTTAGCCCGTTTAACAAAGAGGGAACTAAAGAGCAGGACAGATGAAAGACGACTAGCAGAGGCGAGTCTTTAGCTCTCTTCTCCAGCGTCTGACTGGTGACTTCACTACCCTACCTTTTTCCTCTTCTGAATTGTAACTGCACTAAACCAAGGAGGAGAATGCTAGAGTTAAAATAATGTTGCACTCATCGCAGTTGTTAATTATATTAATGAGGAGAATTTAAATCCAGCTTAATCTTTTAATCCCTCTTTTACTGGTCAGTGATACGAATTAGCTTGAAGGAAGATATTTTGAAATGGATCCTATTAATACTTGTATAGAAGACTTCTGATCTACAGACCTCAAAGCCCCTTTCAAAGGAGATATGAAGCGCTTAGATTTCCAAACTGATGGAGTAGGAGAGTGAGAAGAGCAAAAGAGAAGAAAAAAATGAAGAGGAAAGCGAAAAAGTAATGATAAAAATGCTTGGATTTCAATAAGTGTTTTGGATAATGTCAATGATAGCAATTTCACATATTTATTAAAATCTCTTCAAATCTTACTTCTTTTGAAGTCAGTGGGAGACCGTCACTGAGTTTGATGGCAAGACGACCAGGCATAATAGGAAGACACTGAAGGCAGAGGAATGTGGCCACCAGCTATAATTGACTTGTGGGTACTTGCGTTTTATAGGATAACTATTAGTGCATAATTTACTGTGTCTGGATGGAACAGATTGTTTGTATACTGAGGTAAGCAAGGCCCAGTTGTGGAACTGTATCTTAATTATATATCAAGTGATACAGAACAAGGAAAATAATTTCACCATGAAACAAGGTATCCACTTCTTTGCAAACTGCCGAATGCAAGACTGCCAGATACCTTGTAAAGGTATCTATTTAATCCTCGCACGTAAAATGCAAGCCTTGACAGCGAAATGGAAATACCATAGTCCTAACCTGTAGGCTACACGGAACTTCCCTCTCTACCCTCTTATTTTAATTGCTAAAGAACACAGTAACTGGGGGAATTATGTGGTAAAATGCTGATGCTGTAGGAGCAGGGATAAACTAGTTGTTTGCACGTTTGACAGTATGGCAGGAAAATGCAGAACGGGGAAAGAGCAAGCAAAAGGAAAGCTGATCCCAGCCAAGCAGGGGGTAGTGATGTGCACCAGTGGTGGATTTGGGTTGGTTGGTTTGCTTGTTTTACTGTCACTCACTATTTGCTTTTTCACTGTTAAAATGTTCACAGATAAAATGCCAAGGTTCCTGATGATTCGCATACAAACCTTTACAAAATTGGGTCCAGAACCAACTTTTCAGAAGAGCTTGCAAGGCTCCAGGAAGGAAGCCCAGAGGAAGGCAATTCAGTTGCTGGTACGGCTGACAGGATTGATTGGATCTTCGCGTAAATTCAGTTAAAGCACTGTGGAAGAAGTATTTTTGGCACCTTTGTGAGGTATGAGGACAGAGGAAGGTAGACAAAGGAGGAGAAGATCCTCTGTGTAAAACCATAAACATGAAAAACCTTAGCATTCTAATAGCTAATAGGTCGTTTACAAGTGTGATCCCGTCCTCCTGGCTGATGCGCTCGGGTTGTGTTTAACCATCCACAGCTTGAACTAAAGAGTTAGGATCTGTTGTTGGCAGCTCAAACATTCAGTATCCTCTGTGGATCCGTACAGAGAAGTAGCTGTAAGACCAATCCATGGCACTGACACAGACCCAAGGTGGAGTGTGTCAACTTTATGCATCGGAGAATGGGACACAGATACCCAAATATTTTAGCTACAGGCATAATTACATCAGCGTAGTGCTGCAAAGGGAATGATTAGCTAAAATAGCAAAGTGTTTTATATTCATTTACACTTTCCCTATCTGTTTAAATGTCTGTGCCACAAATATATTGTTTTTGTAAGAGTGTCTATACACAGAGTTGCAGTGGTTCATTAGTATTTGGCAGTAGCTTAGTTAAACTAGTCCAGATCGCTTTAGACTAGTTTACAATTATAGTATTATGGTAAAGCTTGCAGTGATAAATGTGTAGGTATAAACCAATCCACAATAATTGAGGTTAAGCAATATGCTTATAGCATATATTGGAGTTATAGCACCAATACGTGTGCTAACAGAGATATTTACAGACCAAATTATTACCCCACTACAGTCTGTGTGGGTGTGATGCTGGCAATCTCAGAAATGTGAATTTTAATATGGTTTTAATCTACAGGGATTCTTTTATGGTTCTTACTGATTTATTTTACATAATGTGTCTTTAAATTCCACATAAAAATCATATTACAGCTTTTAAAGCTGCAAATTCAAGCATTCTGAAGTTAGAAAATGCCAGAATTCATGTTATTTGCAGAACTTTAATTTGCCTCCTCTTTTGTTTGATTGTAAGGTAGTCATTAGTGGGATGAGCCCATTCGGTGCACAGAAAGGATGGTAGTCACTTAATGAGCAGCTATTCAGTATTTTGTTCTCTCTTTGTGGCTTGATGTGGGGCTCCATGCCTTACTACTTACTGTTCAAACCTTGCTCTGAAGACAGAGTTACTAATCTTTTTATAGACTTTTCAGTGGTATACATCATTGTAGGAGCTGAGAGCTTCACAATCAGAATTCAGTGTAGTTTGATAACATTAACTAAGGAGAAGATAGCATTACAGCTAAGGTTTTGAGGCATAAAGCAGTTAAACTATATATGCTAATGTTTGGATGCCCAGCATGAGATGTTTAGTACTTGGTGTTCCAGAGTACCCTGTATTATATAGCACTCCATATGTTCAAAGCACATCTCACATTGATTCCAATGATAGTTGTGAACGCTCAGCATTTTTACCCATAAAAATGCAAGGTTTGAATTCAAGCTTTCAACTAAACCCACCATCCGGTTCATGGCCACCCATAAAACATTTGGTTTTAAGTGACTAATTTAGCAGTCTATGTTAAAGACAAAAAGAGAATCCAGTCCTACGGAGCAGCATACAAATGCCTCAGCTGTCAACCATCCTTTTTCTTCCTGCAGTCACTGTGTTGTTTACTTTCTGCCGCAAAGGGAGCCAGGATGCTCTGGACAACATCTGATTCATTACACAGTCCTGACTCATCTCCATACCACAGTTCACCCTGCGCACTGAGTGTTATCACACTCTGTAGCTATATACAGCTCTGTAACGAATGACAGGCCAGATATGCTGCTGTGCAAATGATAGAAAAATTACAGAGAGAAAGAAAAGAAAAAGCCTATTCCTGGACGTATTGATGGCCCACCTATTTCCTTGCCTCTCTGACCTGATGTGGCTTCACTGAATGCTTTGGGTTACCATGTTTGTACTGATGCTGAGGGTATATGCCCCGTGTTTCCCAGAGGGCCTCCCTTTCCCACACCTCCTAGATCATCCAGCCCTAGGTGCACGAGAGCCAAGAAGTAAAATAGCATATTGTTTTGGATGGCCCGTTCTTGGATGACTTTCAGCAGTGTGGGGAGTATGTCAGCTCTGGCAAGGTGGTCACATAAACAGAGGTCATAGGTCTCCATTTTTAGCTGCCGGTCAAGCATGCATTTGTGTCCCTCTACCACCGGCACCTTTGCTTGCACAGTGCCAGTCTTCCATCTCCTCAGACAGCCTGCAGAGCTGCCACAGCAAGGCCATTGTAGAGACAGCATTGATCTGTCGCATAGTATTTCACCTGCTATGTTTCCTTCCGAGATCTGTCTCAAGGCAGCTGGAAGTCTTCAGCAGCAATAAGCAGATCGTAGTTACTACAGACATTTCTGTTTTTCACTAGAAAGATGGGGCGGCCACCTAGGCCAGTAGGAACAGGCCCTACCATAACTTTTAGGAGAAGACATGGCACAAGGCTGGAAGATGAGTAAAAAACCTGTTCCTGGAAGAAAGGTAAAAAATGCTTTTCGAGGTGTCTGGAAGATGAATGCTGAGATGGGGAGAAAGAAATCTGGATGCCAAGGCCTCATTCACCTCTGGAAGGGTGTGTCTTGCTGTTTCCCAAGGTTAACCCAGATGGCTATCAGTGTGGTCCTGGCTAGTGAAAGTTTAAGATAAGAGAATGCCCTCAAGCCTAAGTGGCTAGCCGCTGCACCATAAACAATGCACCATCCCTCTCTCTTAAAGGAGTAAAACTAAGACAGTTTTTCTTTCTGTTCCTAATGGGTGATGGAGCTAACCTCCTTGAAGAAGTGGTCATGCACAGCTGGAGGATGTTTTGCCCCAAACCCAAAATTCCTATTAACAGCCTTGCTGTAGGTCGTCTTCAGCTTCTTGATCTTTATGTGACAGTGGTTGTGAGGCTATGAATGCCATTGCTGGGACTGCTAGTGAGTGGTCAGTCATAAGCAAGATAGTTGCTAGTGGTGGTCTTATACCTGTGGCCCTGTGGGTACTCCTCTAAGAGGTCTGTGCTCTTCCAGGGACTAGGGCACTCTCAGGCTCCCAGCTTTTGGAGCATGGTGCAGCAGACTCAGTGTAGGGTGGCATCATTAGTATATTAGAGATCTTCCTGAGGCAAGGATATTTTGCATAAGCAGCCATGCGTGAAGTGTAGTGACAGCACACTGGGGCATACGGGCCTGGTTCAGTTCTGCTGCACTGCTTTGCATCTGGTTGGTTGACTGAGGCTACTCCAGGTGGGGGTAAGCCAAAGTGCAGTCTGTCCAGCTTGCGTGAGCGGTGTCCTGCAAGGTGATCTCACGGCCAGATACCCTGAGGGTATGTTGTCCTGGTGTTCCATCAGAGGGACTCTCTGTGCACCCTGCTCAGTACTCCTGGAGCTCAATCTTGCAAACTATCAAAGGCTCCAGGACCAATGTGTCCGTATTATAGGGCAGTACAGTTCCTACTGACACTGCTTCAGTGGTACTTGGAGAACTCCTGTGCCTTCTGCCGTGAAGGCAGACAAGGTCTCCCTTTTCGTTGTCCTCATGCCAGCAGAAGAGGATGAGAACTCAGAGCCAGCGTTGAGAAACAGAAGCGAATCAAGTGTTTGGCAGATTTTTGTGCCCCAGGATGAGCCACGCTCAGTGAATATGTATGAACACTAAATGTAAGGAGTCTTTGGCAAATAGGAGTTGTGAGTAGCAGAATATTCCTGGACTTGAGTTCACAAGCTCCCCTAAGTCTTTAAAGAAGATCTTTGAACTGAGATTTTCAAAGGCTTATCATTTGGGCCAAATTTGTGCAGTGAGTCATAGGAGCAGTAAGAAGCACATCCCCAGTGCAGGAAACTCCCCTGTTAAATTTCAAGGTTCTGCTTCAAAGTAGAGGATGCGCAAACTTCTTAACAGAACAATCTTGCATTATTTTATTAAGATGGGCATGCTTCTGTCTTATTATCATAGACAGCTAAGCCAACATTTTAAGAAACAAGCAATGAAAATATCCTTCAGGTCCTTGGCAGTCAGCCAGCATAGAAAATCTTGACCACAGCAGTTAAGGTTAAAAGTTATAAGCTACTGATAACGGACCTAGTAATGAAAGTGTCAGGCTACTTTAATTATATGTGTCTATGTAAATAGCCAAACAGGAATTATAACATGCAGTAACTTACTTTTACAAGTTATTAATTCCTGAGGTCTTGGATTCTTCAATTTCTCCAGCTGTGTTCCTCCAGTCGGTTCAGTGAATCAGAGCTTTAGTTTTAGGTGATTGGACTCATTGCATGTTTTAAATGAGATAAATTATTGATGATTTATTAATGATTATTAATTATCACCAGCAGCTGAACAAATCTGAAATATATGTGCAAAGTTTATAGGACCAGTTCAGAACATGAAAGGATGCTTCTTCCACTATATGGACTTTCAGCTTGTTTCATTGCAGAAAAAGAGCACTGACTTCTTTTAATTTCCATTAGATAGATCTTTCTAGATAATACTTGTTCTCATTTCTGTAACCAAAAGGTGGCAGCATATTCTCTACTTTTCCTTTTCACCCATCCTAGTTCTAAGCCCCTAAATAACCTTACTCGCTGAGTTTGTAGGGATGCCAGGAAATCCAGAACCATCATGCTGACTAAGGAACATTGATGAAATCTAATGTGAATTCAACTGTTTATCACCTTCAAATAGAAATATGGGACTAGATCAAGGACTGGTGATTTTATTCAGTTGTTTCAATGACAGCCTGATTTACTTTTGAAAATGTGAAGGGTTAAATTTCAGCTCAGCATGGTATAACTTCAGGAAGAACACCTACCTGGAGTCTAACACTATTATTAACATTAACGATAGCTAAGAAGCCTGTGCCCATAGTATTGATCTGTCAGACTTGCACTAAATTTTGTTCCTCCTTACCGCTTCTGGTCACTAGGCAAAGTGCTGGAAGGCATCAAAAGGGGCAGCAAAGGGAGGGGAAGTACTTTATGCGGAGAGAATACCAAGGTGAAAATGATATGAATGTGCCAGTTGAGTTTTGCTGCATGACTGCATCAATTTAGAGACTTCTGGAAAGATGCCCAGAGACACCCATTTGCCGTTTTGCCTGGTAAAGAGATTTGGAGGAGGAGGAGGAAAGTATTCTAAAACATTACCTGTTCTTAGATCTGCAGGGATACTGTATGTTTGGCAGGATGCCACAAATCCCCTGGAAACACAATGCTACAGAACACTGCAGTATGTGTCCTTAACAACTCAAGACACCCACAAGCATATCAAACTGATTCTTACTCTCTACACTGCTTTTCCATAGAGTATCCAGTCAAACTGAGGGTCTCAAGTTATCATTCCTCAGCTGCTCCATGGCCTGAATTGGGGACTCTAAATGACAGAGTTCTGGGATGTTGGCCAAAGTTGATAGTACTGTTCCCTAGACACTATGAAGCTTCTTAACAGAAGGATAAATAAAGCTTGTGTGTGCTGGAGGCAGTAAAGAACTTCAGTTATCCCCACCTTCCAGCTGGAGATTAGATGCAGAGTAAGTATAAGAATATGTCTGATAGTTATGGTTGACTTTAAGGTCACCTTCAATCTCCAACTCACCAGATGCCGGTACAGAAGCCTGCTAAGTATAAGCCTCAGCACCCATCCAGACTGAGTCCCAAAGCTTTTCTGAAGTTACACATGATATATTTAGTTTATCTGGCTGCGGCAGCCTGCGAGTATGGGTAGTTGTGAGCAGCAATCCCACAGTTCCACGTGGCACTATACTTCCTCTCTCTGATGTCCATAACTAGGGACAAGACTGAAGGGAGAGAGAAAGTTGATTCATAGACACGATTGGCTGGTGGATTAAGAAGAATGATGTGGAAGCTTGTGCTGACAAGATGCAGATGTGGGGAAGGTCGCTCAGATCGCTGGGAGCGTGTGATCTTCGGGCTCTATCATAACTCTCACTGTAGATGCATTTTTTGGGAATAGCTCACAGACTGAAGACACAACTCTTCCAGATACTAAGAATCACCTCAAATTATTATTCCTCCCTCCATATGTGTCTTTACATGGCCTCATCACAGGCATGTGTGGAGGAGGATTCCCATGCTTTCGTCTCTGTCTGTTGTAAGCAGAAATGTCTTTGGGGAGGCTGGAACTTTTTGACGTGGTTGTTGAATCAAGATGCTCCTGTGGAGCACAGCACTGGGTGGTTTGCTGGGGAGTACTTCCCCATTGCCTGAATGGATGCTCTTGGTCTGTCAGTCTTGCAGTTTACTTTCATTTTTAATCTGTCCTCAGTTCAATCACCTTTACGCAATGTCAGCATTGCCTCCTGAAGGAGATGATGACAACAGAAGGTGGCACACGTAGTGAGCCCCAGGCATTGTAAGCCTGTTGCTCAGAATGAAGCATGTTCCTCGCCAGTCACACCTTATTTAATGTCTAGCTTTGGAGAGACAGGGAGAAGAGACTATAACTTATTATCTTCTGTGCACTTACAAATGCACAGGTAGGAAAATCCTCTGAGAATTGTCCTGTCTTTTACATGGTGTCATCCAAGAGATGAGTTAATACAATTCTGCCATGCCAATATGAGCAGATTTCAAAGCTGCTTGCCTGTTGCTCCCTCCATTTCCCACCTCTTGTCGAACAGCTGGTCTCTAAAACAGAGGAAATTTTTCTGTTTGGAGATTTCAAAACCTGATTGAAAGATCAGGGACAGAGGGTACCTCAATATGTTCTCTCTCTCCCCCAGTGTTAGGTGCAGCCAGAAAATTGTCTGTATGACCAGTAAATCTCAGACTGTTTTAGACCTGGGACAGACATTCAGCACCGGCTCTGTTTTGAATGGGAATCGATTTTCCTCTATCCCTTATTTTAAAAGCATCTGTAGTTAACAGCTACGCTCAAAACTGACAAGTCTGCACGTCAAATGGAAATGCCAACATAATATGGTGTGACATGAACAGCATCCAAACATTTTCTTATGACATTTCTTGCTGGTGCAACAAAGGTATTTTTCAGCATTTGTCTGCCTCAGATGAAGATGGGGTCTATATTTTCTTTATTCTGGCGAGTTGCCATTTCGGCTGCCTTTATACTCTCCTCTTCTCTGATGACATTTGCAATGTAATACTGTCTTTCCTGGTTAGATAGAAAAGCCAGAATTCATTGATTCATAAATTTCCCACACCACAATATCCAGTCACCTCTCCACCTAGATAAAAAGTGCTAGCAAAAAAGTGCAGCCTGCATGAGATTTAAATGACTATCTCAAGGTAAAAGGTTGCTCATAGCAAAATTGGTCTTCAAAGCCCATTTTATGCAAAAAGCAATGTAATCCTCCTAACTAGGTGTTTGGAAAGAGGTGGTTTTCCACTGCCTCCAACTTGGAAGGAACTAAGTATCAACACGGGATCCTACAGCATGAAGATGGGATCTCTAAGTAGACTGTGCGCCTAGTGCCTTCAAAGATCCTTTTACTTAGATCTAGCTGTAGTCCATAAATAAAAACCTTGTTTCAGTGGTTGCTTTTAGTTAATGGAAAGCAGCAGATTTTTGGATAAGCTAATCTGTGCTTAATTATAGCCTTTCTGAAAAAGGCATTTGACAGTTTCTCCAATAAATAAAATAGTTGACTAAGTAAAACAGTCTAACTAAAATACATGATGGTAAAACAGCAAATATTTTCCTTTCTGTAAGAGTTTTTAAATTTCAGAATATGCATATACTTTTCTTTGTTCAGCAAGTCTGGAGTAGAAAAGCAGCTCTATAGGCCTAAGTGATAATAATGAGGAGAGGCAATCCTGCGGTCCAGGATAGAGAGGGCTACGCTGCTAATCTGGAGGCACTTCACGTTTCTGTTGTCCAGAAGAAGGTACATATTCCTGTAGAAACCTGGCTGAAACCAGGAGATCTGCTTGTCAAGGGAGTAAGATCCTGCAACTGGTCAGCTGGTGGGAGGTACCTTGCTCCTCTGGAAGGCAGTGGCTCTTGCTGAGCTCAGAACTCAGTTTGAACCAGGAGCTGACAGCTGCTGCCTCTCACAAGCACCTCTCTTGAAGATGCTGTGGCTCCCAGCTCCTTCCTAACAACATGCTGTTCCTGTCTGCCCGCTTGCCATCTTGGATGTCCTGCACTGCTGATCTGTCTTCTAAACGATGCGTAAAGGCCCTCCAATAACATCAATACAACAGGGCAGTGAATCAAATCATGCGCATAAAAATGCTGAATACTTCTAGCTTGAAAACTGCCAAACAGATGTTCCTTGTTTTGGACTCAAAACCGTTCAAGTTTAAATACAAAAAGAACTGAGCCAAGTGTGAGTGCTTCAGGCTCAAAAAAATATTGGAACCAATGAGGAGTGGTAACCTTGTTTTGTTCTCGCACCAGTGTGCCAATTCTGTTTAAAGTGCTTTCCCTAAATTCGCTTCTGTGCTGGGACGGTGTATGAAAATCTACAGTTCCAAAGACATCCTTTTGCAAAAGTTACGGAACAAGTGGAGAGGTTAAGTGGGGATCACAGTAAAAGCTGGAATTCAACTTAAAAAAACAAATGCACCTGAGCCACGTTTATCTGCCATGTGTAGTGCATACTTTTTCAAACACTGTACAGAGTCCTGATACTTCTTTTTTAAAAGGATTCTTCATCTGAATGTAACTTGAAATCCTTTCTTTGCCTCAATTATATTGTAAAGTTGACATAAATCCACTAGATTGTGTTAAATCTTGACAAATGTTTGCTTAAATTTCAATTTTGCCTTTTGTAGAATCTCCTTATATGACAACAACATGCCATATATGTGAATCCATTGTCCCATAGCTATTCTGGGTTGTATTAGATTACGCTGTAACTCTTCAAAGGTGGCTGCCTGTGTTTGAAAAATAGGAACTTTTAAACTCTTAATCATAATCATAAACATAATCTCTTTTTTCCCCCTCCTGATGCAATTTCCAGAAGATAGTGGGGAAGCTAGTTAAAGATACCTGCCTTCTGAGAAAAGGATGCTGCTCTTTCGGGCTAAAAATGCAGGATGCCTGCCCAGAGAAGATTCCTTGGCAAGAGAAAAGTATTCACGCAACTGAGAATTCTGCCTTTTTCCGTTTTTCCTGTTGTGACATGTGGAGATGAAAAGTAGTTTGTGCATGATCACAGATTCAAGCATAGCACTTAAAATGATACAGGATGGTACTGTGGGGGGCCCACATCCCTGGACAGAGGGAGCTCCTCCCTCTTGCAGGTTCCTCATCCAGTAGCAATAAACAGGACTAACCAGGTGGTTACTACTATGTCCACAGTGTGGAAAAGGTGAAGAACCTCTGTTTAGGGCCTTTGCAGCCCTCTCAGGGCTTCCTGCTAAAGACTGAAGGTTTAGCTCTGAGCCAACTGTCGCTCTGTGGGAGGTGGGTTGGGCAAATGTTTGTCCCTTTTTTTACTCCCAGCCCTCCTCTGCCTATAACTTTCTTTTTTAAAAAGTGTATGTGCTTGTCTTCCTGTCCCAAAATAGCTAGTATGCGCTGATTCAGCACAGTCTCAATGTCTGCACTGATTTACTGACTGATCTTGGGGACCTATGCCACTGACTCTCTGTAATAGCTGAGTGATTTCTATGCATGTTTGAAGTTCTCAGGGTGATTACATGACTTCTAAACCAGGCATGTCTCTCTCTTTTACACTAATGTACATCTTTGTTTACAGTCGCCACTATTTGGAGCTAGCTGTGTTAGGAGCAGCCAGCCATCTGAGCTGATGCTAATTCTGGCAGACTGGACAAGCGTATAGTCCTTTAGTGACACTCCATGTTGCTCTTTACAAAGCACTCTGTGATGCATTCTGGCATAGCATGCCATAAACTTTCAACTACAAGGGGATAAGAAGCCGATAGGTCTGCCTCAGCCATCTTTCCAGGAAACAGTAACATTTTGGCAGAGGGATAAGGTGGTTGAGAGGGGCACAGACAGCTACTGCTTCTTTGGAGGTCTTCTAAACTGCACTCAGACAGCTGAGGACCCAAACCAAGGGTCAGCATTCACGCACTGCAGCTGAGTTTCAGATCACAGGAAAATTATCAAGGGCTGAGAGAACAAAGGGTGTCAGATGGGGGCAAAGAACTAAGAGACAGGGGCAGATAGAATGAATAATTATAGCAGAAGCTGTATAAGAGACAAGAGGAAAAGATGAAAGGAGCAGAGGCAAAGTAAATGAGAGAAGAGTTTGGCTGATAGATGCCTCTTTCCTTTTCTCTCAGCTGCCCACACTGTCCTCTGCACTTCTCTGAGTGTCCACTAAAATATCTTCTATGATTTCTCTTCTTCTTCACCTTGAAAATTTGGCTGCACTGTAAATAACCTGCTCCTGCTTTTAAACATAAGCATAAACATAAGCTATTAAACTTGTATAAGCATCTGTCCAACTTTCACTCAGGCAGTGCTGAGTTTTGGAAGAACTATTCAGCTGTTTTGGCAGGCAGATTCATCTATCAAACAGACATGTTTAAGGCTTTTTGACAGTTCTGGGTTCCAGTAACAGTGAAAGCCCTATTTTTCTTGATTCACTGAAGTTCAAGCTTCTGAAAACAGTAATGCACAAAAGTCACAGTAATGGGACATGTCTAGACAGCATCTTATACAATGATTTGTATGAGGGCATCTTGTTCCTCGTGATTATTATACCAATCTTGTCTGAGGACCTGGAGGAAGGTTTAACAAAATGAGTCTTTCCTCCACATCTCCAGCTAAACTAGCCTTTCTTATTTTTTCCCCTACCCAGCCTACTTTTTTGCATGGCTGCTATGTTAACTTCAGCTCCCCATGTTTTTCTGCATCTTGCATGACCATACTTTTTTCTCCACAGAGGGAAATTTCTCTCCAGTATGACCTCCTTGGTGGTTCCCTACTGTCCTTCAAATTCCTCAGCAAGATTCAGTTTGTCATTATCTCTTTCGCATATCTGTGACCAAGTTATAGATGTACGTCCGCCCTTCCATTAAAAAGGATGGGATCACAGGGAGGGTGTTCTTCATATGGATAGGAGGCTTTTTGTCCATAGGAAGAAAGCATTCCTTTTCCTGGCTTTTCAGTTTCCTAACATCTTCTGCACTAACCAGCTTGCAATTTGTAGCACTGTAATTGTAGAAAGGAGAAAAAAACTCTTAAAAGGAGAAGCCATATGTGTCAGCTTGCAAATACCTAGTATGGATGAACTCAGGTTAAATAATGCTGTTTTCAAGCTTAATGTGTAAAGGTGCATCTTTAAGCCACTGAATCACAGAGATCTTATTGTCAAAACTGCTGATTATCAATGAGATACAGGATTTTCTGTCACCAAAGTAATTCTGGATCAGTCTCAGGTGGCTGGCCACAAAGAAGTTGTTTCCTAGAGAAGGGAATGTATTTGGAGCCCCCTGATTATGGTTCTTCTGGATTCTGGAGTGTCCCTGTGTGGACTTTGGGTAATAAACATCTTTTAGGGGAAAAATGGTTATTGATCAGCTTTGAACTTTAGCAATCTCTTTCCTCTGATTTCCTCAGTTCCCATTTTTTAAAGTAGCCTTTGCAAGGAAACTGGCTAATACCGTGCTGCTTCTCAGCTGAGACATCTTCCCTTTACGTGTCTATGCCACCCATGTTAGCAGAGGCCTCTGCACTGTGAAGTCCAGTTCTAGAATGGGAAGCTTGCAAAAACAGTCGTTCACTCCTCTCCAGTTTAAAGCACAGCCCATTTATATGTATGCATATTTGTGTAGCTGCTGCAAAGTACTCAAGACATCCCTGTGGACTTAGCATACTATTGCCAAAAAAAAAGTTTCAACCATTATGTACCTAGAAATAGCTCAACTACAGCTTGGAACATGAGAACTTTTCCCCAGAGGTGTGTGTGCAGGAGAGCAGACAGGGACAGTGCAGTCCACGGGGAGCACAGTTAATGCTAACCCTTCCTGAAAATTGCCTTGGGATTTTTAAATGCCTCTCAGCTCCCAGAGAGAAGCTGAAAGATTTGACCTTAGTTTAGCGTCTCATCTAAAAAGCAGTAATTACTTCTGACAGTGCAGGTCTCCCTGAAAGCTATGTGGAAAAGTCAGCGTTGGACGTGAGCCCAGTCTTAGTGTTGCACTGAAACTCAAGACTTTTGGGGCCTAGAATAATTTCAGTTGTTGGCCATACTCTGACTGATAGGGGTCTGCAGGAGCTGGAGTCTCTGCGTTACAGACGAGGAAATCATTCCTAAAATTACTAATTGGGAAAATGGAAGAAAGAACAATTTCATTTGCTTAGCTGCTCACCGAGATATGCGAGACCTGTTCAGGGAACAAAAGGCTTCATTTCTTAATCTGGTCACTCTGACACTTTCCAAGAGCCTTAAATTGGAAGGAAAAGAACAAGAGGTTTGCTCTATGAATAGCTCAGATGTCAGCGTATGGGACAACGCAATCAGCGTTAGGTAGTTTGACATTATTATTCATCATGCCTGCCTGAAGGACTCAATCAACACTCCAGGCCTTGTGGTGCTGCGCCAACAAGTGAGAACACAGCTCCTGCCCTCGAGTGTTCGCAGCCTGGGATTATGGCAAGAAGGGAACTCAGCGAGAGGTGTGAGGCCGTGAGATACTGGTATAACGAGCATATTTGCATAACAGCAGCAGTCCCGGCCAGCTTTCTCCCCAGGCACTGCCAGACAGCAGCACTTCACAGGAATCATGGCAGAGGTAAAGCTTAAAAGGAGATTTCATGGAAGACAAGATGGTATGTTTGCGGAGAGGTTTTTACCAGGATTTAGAGGGCAGGCTGTGAGAAGGCATAAAAGTGTCTGCAGGAGAAGTGACAGAATCTGTTATCTTTAGCGAGGGAAGAAAGTTATCTACTGTGACAGAGTATTAAGATTTAAGAGGCAAGGAAAGATGAAACAGTGAAGGGGCTTAGAGGTAAAGACTTGAGCTTCTTTTCTCCCAGCTCTACAGAAATATTTATAATACCAAAACACGTGCTACCAAATCAAGATGAAAAACTGAAATCTCAGCAACGGTGCTTTGATGCTTTTTAGCTGTTGGGGAGCTCACCAAAAAAAAAGCCATTTTGTTCAACTTCTTCTTAAAAAGGAGCTACGCAGTAAATTCTCACTGCTCACCTCATGAATGATCCCACAGGGCAGCAGGGGAGTCAGGACCTTCTAACTTTCTTCCACGTCACTTTTCTTGCAAGGCCTGAGTTGGCACAAGACTATCACTGCAACTTTGGGGACAGGCAGTGAAATCCCTGCTGAAGGCCGTGTGCAGGTGCTGCGTACTCCCTCTCCTAGCGTGTCCTCCCAGTGCTGGGGTGTCCTGGTGCCAGGCTTAGGGCTCACATTTGCACTACGCAGGCTTTGTGCAAGAGGGAAATAGACTTGGAAAGATTTTATCAGGGGCTATAAAGTTCTGGTGGGGGTCGACCAAGATAAGAGTTGCTCCTGCTCATAAATATTTCATGAACTGAGAATTAAATGTATTTTTACTCTGATTAGCTTAGGTTTAAAAAGGAAATGACTTTGAAACAGAAAGCCAGAATTGTCAAATGGAAAATGTCAAAATGATTTTTTTCAGCCAACTGGAAACTTTTCTTCAATAGATTTTTCAAGTAAAACTATCCTAAGAGTGGGGACTCTTCTTTCTCTGTGAAAAATTTCCACTTTGGTGAACTGATGTTTTTCAGTTGAGAAAATACTAAGTTTAATGAAGAGAAAAGCTGTGCTCAACATGGCACAGAATGGGGAGAGAAGAGCAAAGAGGAAATGTGGTTAAAGCACCAAAAAGGAGGTTGGTCCTGGTGACCACATGACAAGTAGATTTAGGTCAAGACCAAGCAAAGGAGGTCACAGTAGCTGGTAGAAGATGTTTAGAGGAAGGACTTTGGTGGCTGAGAATGGCAGAAAGTCATCAGATTTTAAAAATCTTATTTAATGAGAAGTCAGAATCCCATTGTGTGGGTGTAGAAGAATGACTCAAAGGTAACACCCAACCTACCAGGGACTGGCTGCTTGGTGTTACTATTGCGATAGCGAAGGGGCAGGACTTGGGAGAGGAGGGAAAGAATTACTGGAAACGGGCATATATACACATACATACATGTATATTTACACACCTACATACACACATAACTATATGTGTGTATGTGTGTAGGTAAATGTTTATCTGCATATGTATTTTATTTATCAGGAAGACCAAGGCCAAGATTTGAGATTAATGGCCAAGAACGATTATGAATAAAGCTTTGCATTTGTAATTTGTGTATAGGCAGATACTTAATCAGACCAAATCCTGTATTTTTTATCTCTGCAAGAACAGTGCTATATCTTTTTTTTTTTTTTTTGGCCCAAAAGAACAGTCTCTAAGAAATATTTTCCTTATTTTTCTCTTTTTGTGATGTATATGAGCAGCAGTACTGTAATTAATCCTTTCTTGACAGTGCTTACGGATGCCGTAACTTTAGATGAATTTCAAAATACACAGAGTTTGCAGCACTGTCAGAAGGCAAAACTTACAAACGGAACAAACTGAAATTTTAGCATCTTACTTGAAAAGTTGAGGTAATAGGAGCAAAACATTCCCCTATACAGGACGGACAGCATTTAGAGCATGTTGAGAAGAAAAACATTAGGCAGCAATTTAGTCATAACTCTGAGTAGGTGTTTCTGCTCATGAGAAAAAGGCATTGCATGCCTGACTTTCCTGGACGCTGAGTGCCCCCAACTTTCACCCTGAAAGCACTGAAGATTGGGTCCCTATTGGTCACCCTGAAAGCAAACAGAGAGCATAGTTCCCTTTAAAGTTCTGTAAATGCTTCTTAATGGTGTGCCTACCCTCAGCTGCGCTCATTTGCTTTTGAGCAGGAACTGATAGCGTCTAATTTGTGAGAGGAAATGTATTTGGGAGGGGAGATGACATGCTTGGACTTAGTCTTGCTTTGACGAGGGTACTTTATCTATGCTACCTCACTATATTGCATTTGGTGTAAATGCTGGCAGTGTACTGTTTTGGACTATAGCTCATGGACTATTAAAAGGGGAACAGAGGTGCAGGCTGGAAAAGGAGGGTGAAGTTTACTCTGAATTCAAACTCACGTTCCTGCTCAGGCTTTCAGTGCCTGCTGTCTGGCTGCTGCTCCTGCCCTTCTGACAGCCCTGTGGCTGGGGTCACAGCTCTGAAGACACGTCCAGGAAAGCAGGCAGGTTTACAACTGCTTTAACGCGGAGCCATTCAAAGGGCAGGCCGTGGGCTGAGCAATTCCCAGCCTTCACCGAAGTCTCCGCTGTGATGTGCCCTGCAGTATCTGGGTGCAATCCCATAGCTTTCCCTGGTGTCCCATAAAGCAGCTGCAATTTGTCACAGCTGTTTTCACGCACTAGGAAGCAAGCTGCTTGAATCACGCACCACATCCCTGAGCAGGGCTGGGGAAAACCACTCAGTGAACTTCAGAGAAGATGAATCGAATAGCCTGGCTTTAACCGAGCGTTCAATCCAAACCTTACCCGGAGCAGGTAAGCCACTGCTGGAAATCACATGTCACAGCAGAAACATCTTTCCTCAGCCCTGGGAGACACAGCCTGTTCCTCTTTAAATCCTAGCTGTGTGCTGCAGCGCTCTGCATTGTTGCCATGGCAGAAATCTCCCCATAGTAATAACCTCTTTCAGAGAAGGTTAAAAAGAGACGGCGCACATGCTCAGAAATGCTGCACTTGTTCTGTTAGCAGTTTGCAGCGGCCATTTCAAAGAGACCATCACAAAGACGAGAGAGAGAGAGATCAGGTACTGATATTTTTTCCTTTGTTAGAGGGGGTGACTTTTCTCTTTCGCAGAAGTCCATGCACAGATCTGTCGCTGTTCCCAGTTGCACTGCAGACAGGAGCCACCGTTGAAGCCTGTCGCGATCATCCCATGCAGGCAGCTAATTGTCACAGAGTAACTGAGAGGCAGTAGTTAGATGTGGTGTGAGGTGACTGCTGCACCTGGAGAGCAATTATTTTGCAGCAGGGCTCACATCTGAAGCTGAGCTGAGGCTGGGGTAAATGACACGTAAGGCACCCTAAAAAAAGTTTAACAGCATATCTGTGTTGTTTTACTGAATCTCTATAGCACTGAGTCAGCTATGGGGATAGCCTCCGCTCCTACTGACCATGAAGGCGTTAGCGTTGTATTATCCTCATTTACTGATACATGAAAACTCTGCTGCATCCCATTGCAAAGCCTGGTGTCTCTGATTGTACTCGTTTTGACTGCAGATCACCGTTAATTAAAACAAAAAAAAAAAAACCCAAGCCACTTGTTATTTTTTAGTCCCTTAACTTTATATTAAGGATTTTAGAAATAAGGATCACATCAGCTCACATCACTTGTAAATATTGGGGGGGATAAAGAACTCCGTTCTGGGGTTTTAGGAATTACATTACCAGATCTGTTATTTGGTGTGAGCCCAAATATGTTTATGACTGTACATGTGCATGTGTCTTTCTTGCCTCTGAACCCTCCCCTGCCCTTACATTTAGGGGGAGGTGCGCAGGAAGGGAACGTGTGCAATGCTATTCCTTCCCCAGGTGAATTGCTGGTTTGCACGTGCAGCAAGTGTTCGTACAGAATTCGCAGCTGCAGGTTAGCTGTGTCTGAAACGGTGGCTTTGCACATGCTGAACAACAGACCTGTTCTGCTTTTGTGGCAAGATGTGGGGAAAGCCTTTCCTTTCGTGCCTCCCTCCATTGCCCTTCCAAACACGAAACACAGGCTGTTTAGAGGAATGCTGTACTTCTACATTCAGTGCGCGCTGAATTGATGTTCTTATGCAATGTCTTTTGTTCAGTAGGCACTGACTTAAAAATCAGGAAGAGATGCCTGTCATCCTGCTTTCCTGAGCTTAGCTAAAGAGAATCTTCATGTGGATTCTGCCTTCTTGTTACAACTTAACCTTATTTTCTCCTTTCTGTTTCCTCCCTTTGAACATACAGGAAGGGATGCTAAACTTGGCTGAACTAAGAACCACCCTTTCAGTGTGCCAGGTTCCTTAAGGATTGTGATTGATACCCGTAATAGGCAGCTGCAGCCTGAGGCAGTCCCAGTTTCCTCTTTCCTCTTGATCTCAGTTTACCCATTGAATCAAGGAAATACTTCATTTTGAAACCTTCCTTGAAGTGTACTTCTCAGAGACTTCACCTCTGTCTGAAGGGGAGGTGTCGCTGGGCGAGACTATACCTAATTTCGGGGAATGGCGTGGCCTGACTGTGATGTTCAGGAACAAATGGATGGCTTCAGACAAAGATCTGAAGCCCAGAATAGGAAGTGAAACAGGGTCAAAGAGTTTTGATTTAGTTGCCACTATAAATTCTACCTCTGAATTTGTGGAGGTTTCACAAAAGTCTTTAACTTCAGCTGCTTTCATAAAGGAATAAGTTTTTATAATCAGTGTAGTAGGTAATTAATGACAAAAATTAGCTTTAGTTATGTTTGTGAAAAGATGGTACATCAAATAGCGAGAGCCAGTCGGTAAAAACCTAATTTCTAGGTTCAGGTCATTTCAGCCAGGTAGCAGAGCTCTGTAATCCCTACAGGTCTGATCTCCAGGTCTAACAGTGAACCAGCTTTCCAGGTTCGTAAGTTGGTCTGGGGTTATGTAGTAAGACAAAGACTGCAGTCACCATTTGGGGTCACAGTTGCTGGCATCCCGGCTTGCAATCCCAGCACATGAACCCAAAAACTGGTTAGGCAACTGATCTTCCCCTTTGTGTCTAGGGACATTCTCTCCAGGTCAGGTTTTATGTGCACTGCTGTAAAAGAATAGAAAACTTCTGTCTATGTTATAGTTGTGCTGATTTTTTTCTTTAAAAAGGAGACCTGTCAATGCTTTAACTGTCATGAACGTTAAGTTCTTTGCAACAAAACCCTTGTTTCTGTATTGTTTCTCACTGACTTGTTTGTGTCTCTTGATAAAGGGAGAAGCACCCGTTCCCAAGATGCTGGCACCCTGCCTCCTGAGAAGAGCTGTCCTTACAGTTCCTTTAATTTTTCTGGTTGCACTGATCCTCATGGAGCCCGTTAGAGCTGATCAAGAAGCAGGAACAGCCATACCAGCTGAAAGTATGTGCCACTATATCGTTCTTGCATACAGCTTGTATTGTAGGTTTAATATTGCAGGACTCCAAATCATTGAAGCTTGTCCAAATAATTCAGTCTGTTCTGGAAACTTGCTCTTTTTGTTTTAAAACTGCATCTTGACAGTACACCGATGGCATTTTCTTCATGCATTCAAGGCTCTTCACCCTCCTCCCATGGTCTCATGCCTATTTCTTTCTTGCTTGCACCTGAAATCTGCCACTGTCGTGCACCTTTTCTTTTGTCCATCCCTTCCATTATGTTTGTTCTTTATAGGCCACAAATCACCCTGCTTGCCTTTCAGCGACAGTCTTGAGACTTGCTTTTTTCAACTGAAATTGGTCTTTCATTACAGCTTTCATTCTTGGTGCTGTCTACCATATTAAATTCAGTAGTTTTTAGTAGAAAATAACTCAGTGAAGATGCCAGGAAAGCACACCATGTCAACTCTCAGCCTTGCTGCCTTCAACCACCTAATAGTCCTTCACTGATCTGTATTGAGTTTAATTTACATCATAACATAATGACAGGTCCTTGCATCAAGCTGTTGATCTGCAAATTGCTATCCTCTCCTATTGCCTGATGTATATATGTCATAACACTAGGGTTAGGTGGTGCTACAACAGTGGGAGAGGAGGTCTTTCATGCTGCTCAGTGTTTATTTTTTGCCTCTTTTTTTACCCCCAGTCAGTTAAAGAATTTGGCAGACTCCTTTTCCCCAGTAGGTGGGATTAGTTTCTGCTGGTTGGCAAACAGATCGTGAGCTGTAGGTCCATGCTTCAGCTTACCAGAAGCATGAAGTGATCAGTTCAATATCAAGTGTTTGTAAAACAGACTGACAAGCACCACAGGATTTTCCAGCCTCCCTCTAGGTTTTATCCTTTCTTCCTTACCAGGCTTCAAAGAGCAAACTAGCCCTACACTCAGAATTCCTCACTTGCACAGTATTTGCTGGGAAGCTGCCAGAGACTCACAGGCATTGAGAAGCAAATAAAAGCATACGCAGAGCCTGATGATTCTAAGGCATTTTACCATGTCTATATTTGTTCTGTCTCTGTAGTGCTATTTATTATAGAATAGCTTCGTGTTACATGATGATCAAGGCAAAGCAAGCCTTGTGACCTTCAGTCTGGATTATCTAGATGTGGGAATACAGTCTTAAACGTTGCAATTAGTCCAGAATGCAGCAGCTTTCCTTATCAGCGATACCCAGTAATGATAGGGCATTGTGTTTATCTGCTGTTTGCTTCACTGGCTTTGGACAAAGCTGTATCAAATTCAAAGCTGCAGCCCAAGTGATCTGTCTTTTGATAATGATCTCAATTGCATTCCATTAGCTTTCTATTTAGAGCTTAAGTTTGTGAGATTAGGAGACAAGATTTTTCTGGGAACAGATCTGTGGTTTCAGAAACCATTTCTGGTTGAACATGTGCTCAGGGCTGGTAGAGCAAAATGGAAGACTCATGTTATGGGTTTAGTGTTTCCATACTTGTATGAACTGTGACAGAGAAGAGAGATGGTGTAAGGGAGGAAGGGGGAAAAGATATGAAAGAGGAAGGGAAGATGGATTTTTTAATGTAAATTTGTTGAAGCAATTCTTTTGTCATTGAGTCATTAGGTGGGCCATCTTGATGGACCAGTTATAAAAACTTGGATTGTTCAGGAGTAGATCCATCAGTACTTACTCTCCCCACTCTTGTCTATAGCTCTTCATCATGCTCAAAATCCATGTTTATTCCTTCTGCTTTATACTTCATGCTGTTTATTCATAATTCTCTACTAAACATTCTCCCAGGCCGTCCCTGTGTCGATTGCCATGCGTTCGAGTTCATGCAGAGGGCTCTGCAGGATTTAAAGAAGACAGCATATAATCTAGACACACGGGTAAGGAAACATTTGACTTTTTTTTTAATGGAAGAAAATGCTTTAGGTAGAAGCAGATAAGCTGGATGGATCTTGCACAAGATGCTGTCAATTGACTGTACTGTCCTATCTTCAAAGGTGATGTTTGGTAACTTCGTTTCACCACTCAAGGCAATAATGTGTGGAATTCTTCTGACTTGGCTTGCCAGGGACACTAGGGAGCTTAGGAAAGAATGAACTAACAGTCTTCAGCCCTCTACTCTTCCCTCGCCCAAGTCAGAGTGTGTTATCTAAGGACTACCATTAGCCCTGCCGCTCTCATTCCAGATGTTGAGTGCACACCTTTCTTTCTATGTTAGAGTCAGCAAGATCCAGAACATCATTTCTATTTACTGTCCATAAGAACAGAGCCATCTCAAACGAAAAACATACTAAAGTAGAATGCTCCCCTGCACATGCTTCTACCCCAGTGGAGAGGCTAAGGGAGGAGACATCATCTGACAGATGCTTTTTACATTGCTCTGATTCCATAGTGATGAAAGTGCCACAAAGTAGAACAGCATGGAAAAAGAAACTTGGTTGGCTTGCAGTCAGTATGGAGAATTTGCCAAGGTTGGTATGTTCCTTCTTTGAGGGAAGTTGAATCTGCCTCTTGCTACTGCAGCCTGCAATCTGTGACTAGCTGTATCTCAGCTGCTGTCGGATAGTGGTGTCTCAGGAGGGCGGCTTTTCCCCTCCTTCCCATGTGCCCTGTAGCTCAGATGTTACATCTACGCTCTTGCAGAGATTTTTCAGCAGAAGGCACTCAAACTTTTTTGCTATTCTCAGGTATGATCAAGACAGTTCACAGTTCAAAGCCGGCAAACTGGCATTTTTGAAGAATGGTTTGAGGTGACTCCAAGCAGGGTACATGATACTTAAATGAAAATGCAGCTGTAGGAATGAAGATGCCTTGAACTGTGGGTTATTACAAAAACAAAAAAAAACCCACATTCCAGCCGAACCAAACTGGTATATAATAGATTTATAGATAACCAAGTTCTGTTCAATAAATGCAGGTCAATTTTGGGGCTCCTTCATGAAGAAATCTGGTTAATGAATACATCTGCTGAGTACGGTGTACAGACAAAACAAGATGTTAAGACTGTGCTGAAAAATGGTTCTAGAGCACCTTTTTCTTCTATCACAAACTTTTGAACTTTCTGCTAGAGTTTCTAAATCTTGCTTCAGAAATGTCTCAATTACTAAAATCTTCTCTGGTTGTCTGGTTGTGGCAATGACTTTTACGACACCTCTAGCTTGCAAACCAAGAGTGAAACTTTTAAAAATATAGATGTCCAAAGCAGGAAGGTAGCTATGAGGACTGAATTGCTGAGTCCTAAAGACAGCAACTGTATTTGAATATTATTATTTTTTTAAATAAAAATAAATAAATAAATAGAAAGAAGAAGGATAGGAAAAAGGTTCAGTTGAGAAGAACGTCCTAGAATTGAGTTTTGCCATTGTAAATTTAGCAGCAGGCCTGAACATGTGGCTCCATGATATATTCTTGCAACAATAAACCTATCTCTTTTTGATTATGTTAAAATCTAAATAATTGAATCCATATTGAGATCCTTCAGTGCCTCTGGACTAAGACAGGCTTATTCCAGTCATTAAGCTAGGAATTCTGTCTGCATTTTCAAAAGTCATGGAAATGTTTAATGGTTGAGGACTGCTTGGCTCATGGAACTGCCTTCTACAGTGTTTCAATTCTTAGTTTTATTATTTAGCTGTGGTCCAATGTGATGCAAACTGGGAGTTTTAAGACAATTGCTTTTGGCCACATATATATTTTACATTTGACTGTTTTCGTCTGGTTTGCTACTTAGTGGGGCAAATGTTACTGTCCCCCAAAATACAATGCCCTTTGTTAATATTCCCCCTAGAGACACTTATTTCCTTGAAAAACCCTCTTTTGTTTGCAGGCCGGATTTTTAAAGGATGACTAAGCAGCTCTTAAGTGTGTTGGAGGGGGAAGAATTCCCAAAAGCTTAGAGAGCAAATTCCCATTTCATTCCTTCTGGAAATCTCACCCTGCAGTTCTGCACCAGAGAGGCTGTATACTTTTACTACATGAACTCAAGAGTTTTCATGGTTAATTTGGCCTTATGTTGATCTGTATGGTGTCTGGAAAAGCAAATTGGCTCTAGCATAGGTTATATAACCTTTTATGGGGGCCATCGGCTGTATCCTCTTCATTTTAAAAGACTAGGTGTGCTTGTAACCCCCCACTGATGTGAGGATCACTTACTGCTTGTCAGGCTGGCTGCATATTACTCATGTGGTAAGAGAACAATCACAGCCCAGCTCTGAGAGGCTGCCTACTACCTGTGCAGATACCAGATCTGTTTGCCCCTTTTGCACACTACTTTCCACCTTTTCCTTCCTGCTGGCCCCTCAGATTGGGATGCAGGCTGGATTAATTATTGTAGCAGCAGTAGCCAAGTCTGGGCAATCTTTTCCGGGGACACCTCTGTTCCTCCCTCACCTAACCAAAGGGCAGTAGGTGTACTATAGCAGAGGCAGCGCTGATCATGAGCTGCAGGAGAAGCCCTTGTACTGCCGGGAGGGAGCTGCTACCGTCAGACCCGTTCATCCAGCCTGCAGCCTGCTCCCTACTGCATCTAAAGGCTGCTAAAGACAGAGGCCAGCAGAGAGCAGACCATGAACCAAGTTCTATAAAACAAATCCAGTCCACGGGCTACATAGTTCACTATATGTTGGTTTGCGAGACACTTATTTTCAAAATTCCAACCCATTTTTCAGAGTTACCCAGTGGACATTGCACTACAACTTTAAAGAGCCCAAGTAACTGCACTTTTAGCTGTAGCTTACAATCTTTTGTGCGGGTTAGGAATCTGGACCCTGCCGTGGGGTGTTTTTTTACTGTGCTTAGACCTACTGGGGGATACTAACAAATGTGCGCAAATGACTTTGTGATCATACTCACAAAACAGTCAGTAAAGCCATTGACTGGCATTCATTTTGTTCTTTATTCCTTTCTAGACTGTCAATAGTTACTTGGAATGTTCAAAGCACATTGAGTTAGAAGTGCTCATGAAAGTAAAAATAAAGGCCTGGAAATATTATTAAAGATATATAAGATGGTAGGCAGCCTTGGGGCTTAACTCAGAGCTGTTGGCACGCTGTCAGCCTCCCTTATTCAAACCATTGTGAATGATGTCAAGGCAATAGTTAGAAGGTGGTGATTGAGTGTCTTCTAGATGATTAGCAAAGTCTGATCAGATCTTTCCAGTCTTGCAGGGTAGCTGAAATGATCAGAAGTGATACCTGATTTAATGTAGTGCCACACGGCTGTGTCTAGTGATTTATCAGCTGGAAAAACACCTAACCAATAGCTCTTCCTGTACTAAGAAAGCAGGTGGTAAGCAGGATGCTTTAGCCTACCTCTGCTCCCAAGTGTCTTTAGCTGATGGGTGTCAACGGATAAAGCAGCTTTTAAAACAGTCTTTAATCACATGGTTATCCCATTTCATATGACAGAACACAAGACAGGCAGATTGAGGATGCATTTCACTGACATTTTGAGTTGGCAGTCTTAATAATGCCCTGCTCTGTGTAACTGGTTACACCAGTGGAGATTAATTTGCTGAGTGGAATTTCCCACAGCTAGTGTGTCACATAGTAATAAGGATGAAGTCATCTCTTGGGTCCAGCTGATTCCCAGATACAGCTTCAGTCAAGATAGACAAACTGAAATGACTGTGTATGATAGATGAAGACCTGATGTTGGTGCCAGGCAGCTCTGTGCTCCACTATGCATCTACTGAAGCCACAAGTGCTCCAAACAGCCAGGAGAAGCGAAGTCTCTGTATGCTAGAGAGGAAGGACTCCTGTATTTCAGTTATGCAGCCCTGCTTTTCCTTCCCTTGTTTTCAGCCATATGTAGGCTGAGAAGATGCAGGCCATTCCAGCTCTGCAAAGTTCCTGATCCACTCTGGTTGCTCCAAGAAGCCCCTGGGGAGGGTAATGAGTTCTTGCTATTGATGAACAGCAGTTTAGCTGGGGGACCTCTGCTCTCATGGATTTGGGATCCCTTTCCATAATGAAGCCAGCAATTCCATCACAGGTTTGACCTGTGATAGTTAATATGCCAGGACAGCGCCTACTGTCTATTTTAAAGGCACTAATAGCATATTAATAATAACAGTAGTTAAGCAGGAGAAGAAGTTAAAAAAGGTAATTTACGCCTTACTTTCTCTGTATAACTTCCAACAGTGAATCCAGCCCGTAATACTCTTGATTCTTTAAAATTTTTGAATCTTTTTTAAATAAAAAGGGAATTTCTAGTAGGTTTGGATGTTTTTTAAAGCCTCTCCCATAAGGCAGCTTGAGCAATTAAAGTAAGATTGTAAGAAAGACAAGTAACTTCAAACAGAAAAAGACAACATCCAGACACACAGTGAGGGTACTAATGTGAAAAACACAGACGTGCACTAGACTGAACTTCTCCGTGTCACAGGAAGTATTGCCACGTTGGGATGCCAGTTAATCAGGAAGAAGCTAAATTACTGCACGGTGCAGTAAGCAGTAGGTCCGATTGTTACCTCAAGCCTCATCTCGCAGAACCAATCCCAAATCTTAAAATAAAAGTAAAACAAGCTTTTCTTTGGGAGCTAATTAGTTTTGTAGTACTGACACTAGTGTTTCGATGTTGCTTTTGTTTCCTGCTCTATAGACAGAAACACTGCTTCTTCAGGTGGAAAAAAGAAATCTGTGTGACTGTGTAACTGCAAATCTGCTAAACTGAATCCTGGAGGCCAGCCAAGGAGTGTCACCTGTTCAGCGGTTTTTAAAATGTAGCTATATAAAATACAGCTTTCTGGAGTTCATTTTGCAAGCATGTATGCCCCAATGTACTGAGGAAATTGGAGGGTTGTGTCTTATGTGTTTGTTTGTTCTGTTTTATGTTTTTAAATAGTCCTCTCTCTTCACATCCACTGGGTTGCCAGTAAAGGCTGAGTTCAATAAATTTGGTACTTGGTATCAGAATGGGGGAAACATCTACTTGCTTTGCTTTTTAAATCAGAGTTGGCCAAGCGTAACCCACAGGGTAAATATGGCCAGCAGTGTTCTAGAGACGCTTGCAGCTGATTTTTGTCTCTAATGTCAACGTATCTCTGTGGCAACATACCCAATTATGCTGAGAAGGGGACTTGTGGTCTCTGTAGGTTTTGCCTCTTTGTTAAAGATGACGGAAGTCCTCTTTGCTTGTTATGTGCACTGTGACCACATTCAGACATGTTGTGGGTCTGTCAGCTGTAATGAGGTATGTGTCAGGAGGAGGTACGTGTGTGGTACTTGGACCACAATGGCCTATATCCTAGTATGGAGTTTTCTGGTATCCTGGGTAAGAATATCTTCTTTTTTAATTAAAACCTTGCATTTCTTCCTCTTCTCCTCCTGGACAGTCCATTTTAAAACCACTGTATCTATGAACAGCTCTACCTTAGCAGGTTCAATGGCTTGTATCGAAAAGTGTGGAAGATATTATTGAATACTGGCTACGTGACAAGGGGCATGAGAACAAGTTCACAAGACCTGCTTAAGTGCAGCTGGACACGTAGGCAGGGCACGGAACAATACAATCTAGGATAGAAAAATTGGCCTATTAGCCATTGCTTGGACTTTCCCAATTCCCATTACCTGAACTACCAACACACCGGTATGGGTTAAGCAATGGCCATTAAAACGGGAAAGTCTATTTCATGCTCATCAATTGGTCAAAGAGCAATTTCAACAAGGTCATTTATGTTTGTCCACTAGTCCATGGAATTCTCCAATATTTGTCATAAAAAAGAAGTCAGGTAAATATCGATTGTTACATGATCTGAGAGAGATTAATAATCAGATGGAACCGACGGGTGCTTTACAGCCAGGGCTACCTAATCCAGCCATGATTCCAGAGTGTTGGTCTCTGCTAATTATTGATTTAAAGGATTGCTTTTTTACAATTGATTTACATCCTCAGGATCAAAAACGGTTTGCTTTTACCTTACCCTCCCTTAACAGAGAGGGCCCAGATCAACGATTTGAATGGACAGTATTACCACAGGGTATGCCTAATAGCCCCACCTTGTGTCAATTATATGTAGCTGCTGCACTACAGCCCTTACGAGAACAATGGAAACATGTTATAATTTATCATTACATGGATGATATATCTCAATCTACATGATTGATATATCTCAATCTGATATAGCTCAAGCTGCGCCCCTTTTCTGACAAGCAGATTGAACACATCCAACGAGTGTTACAATGTTCTAATCTGGTAATTTCTTCAGATAAGGTTCAACAGTCGTCACCATGGAAATATTTAGGATGGGTGCTTACTGACAAAACTGTGTCCCCTCAGAAATTACAGTTGCAGTCGCGACTACGGACTCTTAATGATGCACAAAGATTTTTAGGAGACTTGCAGTGGCTACGGCCCATAGTGGGTATACCAAATGAATTGCTAGAAGGACTCCGTCCATTATTGAAAGGTACGGACCCTACGATAGAACTTAGAGTTACCCCTTATCAGAAAACTCTCATACAGCAAATTGTAGAACGCGCTATTACAGGACATGTACATCGACTCGATGCTACTGTTCCGATTGATCTTGCTGTGTGGTTAGGGCATCGGTACCTGATTGGAGCTCTCATGCAATTAAAGAAAACCGGGGAATTGGGTATTCTTGAATGGGTATCCCCTGCTTTACAGCAGGCTAAAACCTTGGTACAACAAGTGGAAATTTTGGCGGATTTGATAAAACGAGGACGGGAAAGAATTTTACAAGTTCAAGGCTGCCAGCCTTCCACAATATATTTACCCATGCAAAGAAAAGACTCTTTACAATGGTATCTACAGAATAGTGAACATTTGCAAGAGGCGTTGCTTGGTGCTGGTTGTGTGATTGAGACTAATAGCTTTGAGTCCCCATTATTACGATGGATCGGGCAATGGAACTGGATGACATGCCCGAAAAGAGAAAAGAACCCTATAAAAGACGCGGTAACAGCATATACTGATGCAGGACGTAAATCGCAACGGGCTGCCGTTACATGGCAAGACAACGGTTCATGGAAACAGGAATTGTTACACGCAAGACAGGAGGATACTTTACAGACCATGGAACTGACTGCCGTCGTATGGGCCATGATGAACTTGATGGGGCCTCTAAATATTGTAACTGATTCACTTTATGTAACGGGCATTGTTGAGCGAATCGAGGATGCATTTATCAAAGACGTCCAAAATAAGAGGTTACATGAGCTTTTTATCCAACTCAGAAAGGCAGTGAAGCTTAGAGAAAATCCCTATTCTATAATCCACATACGAAGTCATAAATGGAATATTGGACTTGGAGAGGGTAATGATAGGGCGGATAGGCTGGTCTCTGTTTTCACTGCTGTTCCCATTGCAAAAACTGTTTTAGCCAGAGAGGCCCATTCGGTTTTCCACCAAAATGCCAAAGGCCTGCATGTCGAATTTGGGATCTCCATGGCGGAGGCGTGTAGTATTGTTGGAGCTTGCCCAATCTGTAGTAACCATAATGGAGGTTGCGGATTAGGAGTGGGAGTTAATCCCAGAGGGCTTGTCTCAAATGACCTTTGGCAGATGGATGTTACTCATGTCTCTTCTTTTGGACGTTTAAAATATGTGCATGTATCTATTGATACATATAGTAAATTTATTTGGGCAACGGCACAAGCTGGAGAGAAAGTATTGCATGTCGAAAGACATGTGCTTAGTTGTTTTGCTGTCATGGGAGTCCCAAAGCAGTTAAAGACGGACAATGGTCCCGCTTATACTAGCCACAGGATGGATAGATTTTTGAAGACATGGGGAGTAAGACATGTCACGGGAATTCCTCACTCCCCCACAGGACAAGCTATAGTGGAACGGGCACATGGTACCCTAAAACAGCATTTGGCACATCATGCAGAGATCGCTGATCCGCATTCAAGATTGTTGAAAACCTTATTCGTAATTAACCATTTGTGTGTTTTTGGAGATGCAAAGTATCCACCCGTAGTTGTACATACTAGCTCTTCATCTGAATGTCAAGATACTAGTACCATATGGGTACGGTATAAGGACCCTAAGACAGGAGTACGGCAAACACCTGCAAAGGTCTTATTTTGGGGGAGGGGCTATCTTTGTGTTTCTGCCCCTACAGGACCTCTTTGGATACCTGCAAGATGGGCAAGACCTGTACTTGATCCCCAAAGTTCCACGGAGTCAACAGAAAGGCACGGTGATTGAAGAAGAGCTGATCCAATATTACTGCGATCGTGTGGTCCTGGATCTACTGCATCTTATTTGTGTATAATACCGTTTTTGCTATGTATCTCAATTCTCCACCAAACTTATGGGTAACATGGGCTAACAAAACGCATACTACTTCCTTTTGCTTAGCATTGGCTTCTGCTACTGATCCTTTTCGTACATGTTTGGTTGGAATACCCGGATATAATACAACTGATTTTTCAAAGCTATCCACTGCCACATGCAATAGGTTAGATGACAGCAGTAAATGGACAGCCAAATTATTAGCTGCCTTAAACAAAGCATTACCCTGGGATCCTCAAGAAATCGGGCTTTTTAGGTAGCAGAATGTTGAATAGTTCAGCAAATGAATCAGGATGTGTTGAACTGGGTGATTATAAGCAAAATGTCAATGATCCTGCATTATGGCTTACACCCAGGAGCTATCCCTTTTGGAACGAAACATATATGTGTGGCGATTATAGAACCTATGGTTGGGGGAAAAAATGACACAAAGATTTGGGCTAATGACAGTGCAAAGGCATTGCCTGGCAACACCTATTTGATTTGCGGTGATCGAGCATGGCAAGGAATACCTAGGCATGCTCGTGGTGGTCCATGTTATCTGGGAAAATTGACTCTTTTCGCACCAAATGTTACTGTAATATCACAATTCCTTTTTAATAAGACACATCGTGATAAGCGAGCTGTAGCAACCCTCACACCCGACTGTAGTGATCAAGTAGAACTCTGGGGACCCACGGCTAACTTTTTTGCGTCAATTGTTCCAGGGGTAGGTGCTGCTCATGCGCTTCGTACTATAAATACACTAGCATGCTGGATGGTTAAGCAATCAAACGTAACAACACAGATATTGAGTGAACTAGCACAGGACATGGAAAATCTCAGACATCAGATACTTGAAAATAGAGCTGCTATTGATTTTTTATTATTGGCTCATGGGCATGGTTGTAAAGATTTTGAGGGCATGTGTTGTTTTAATCTCTCCTCTAATTCAGAATCAATTCACAAGCAATTGCAATGGCTTAAGAATCACACTAAGGATATTACTGTTGCAACTAACCCGCTTGATACCTGGCTATCATCTTTCGGTATTGGTCCCTGGCTTAAGACCATGATTATGTATGCAAAAGGTATAGGATTGATGGTTTTGTTGATTATATTGTTTTTACCCTGTTTTGTAGCCTATCTACAGAATATAGTTATACGCATGATCCATAAAACACAAAATAATTTGTTTTTATTAAAAGAAGACGGGGGAAATGTGGAAGATATTATTGAATACTGGCTACGTGACAAGGGGCATGAGAACAAGTTCACAAGACCTGCTTAAGTGCAGCTGGACACGTAGGCAGGGCACGGAACAGTACAATCTAGGATAGAAAAATATGCAGCAGGAGATAGAAACAGGCTCTTGGCTTAGAAACCAGAAAACAATATAGATAACAATGTCTTGGGAAAAGTGCATAGCCTTCTACTGTATCCACTATAGCCTTCTACTGTAGCCACCTATAAGGAGCTTGGCTTTTGCCATATGTATGAGCTAATTAACTCTGTTATATAAGTAATAAGATAATTCTGAATAAACTGAGACTTGTTGATCATCATCGGATGTGCTTGTCTCCCGTTGTTCTCCGACAGAAAAGTACAAGAAGGAGAATAAGACCATGACTAGGCAGCTTTGCCAGTTCCAGCTGTACCAAGATGTTACTACTAGCAGCTGCTCAGGACCACAATGCAGAAGGTTTTGAACTCCATGTGTTGCCAAGGAGTTTCATCATGTGAATTTTCTTTGGTTCAGGTGAAACACAGTTGTTAGGTCAGTCATATTTTGTTCATTCTGTGATATTGTAAGGACTAAACTGTGAACTTTGAATCTCTCCTTGTAGTTGCCTTTGGAAGCTGTTCAGTCATGAAGAAAGACTTGTGCACCTAAAAGCTGAGTTGATTTTTTCCCCCAGCGCTATCATTTTGTTCTAAGATACTATGTCCACCTACAAGTCTGAATGAGGTTGAACAGTTTGAGTAGATGCTCTTGAGTTTGTTTGACATGATTTCGAGCCTTCTCAAACCACTTCAACAGTGGGGCTGCAGAGTGCTAGCTAACCTGGTGTGGGGAGTGGAAGAGAGCTGGGCATCTGAAGGCTAAAACCCCTTCAGCTGAATTTGGGAGAAGGGGCCTGTCTGCAGCCTCACCTCCCTAACTAAAATGGCAGGACTTTGCTGGAAGTGAATTAGAGAGAAGTCACAGAAACTGCTC